TTATAAATTTATTATTTTGAGATATTTCATTTTACTTTACGTAGCAAACAATCTGTAATATACGTTTGGTCATATTTCATTTTGAAAATAAGAAAAAAAAGGTTTTTATTTTTTATTAAAGTGAAAAAAAAGATATTTAAAAATTGAAGTTGTGTTTTGGCCATGAAATAAATTAGAGTTGTTTTTGAATTTTTATAAGTAATTTATAGTAAGAAAAGAAAGAAGAAGTAAAAATAAGCAACTCTAATTTCTGATTATTTTTATTGAAAAAAGGAAAACAATTTTTTTTTCAAAATTCTGTGGCTTCAAAATTGAACTCCAGAAAAAAGCGAAAATTATTTCATAACCAAATAACTAAGGGGTTGTTTGAATTGACTTTTTTAATGTGACTTATAAGTTAAAAGACGCAAATTACAAATTGGAAATGGTGAACACCCAACTATTGACTTTTGACTTTTGACTTTTTTGGGTATTTTTTCACCTTTTTTAAAAAAAGTTTAAAAACATTTTTTTGTGTTATCCAAATATTTTGGAAACATAAAAATAACTCAAAAACCAAAAATCACTAAAAATAAGTCGGTCCAAACCCCAACTAAAAGTGGAGTTTATTGATGAGTTGAAGGAAAGTGATGACAATGGGAATTAAATAAAATGAGGAAGAAAACGGATTACCAATAAGACTACAAGAAAAAACTTATTACAGAGATTTAAGTAATATACACCATAAAAATGTAACTTTTATATTATATTATATTATTTAAGATATTTTTAGTTAACCCTTTTTTAAATGCATGAATTGTAATCATGAAAAGTAAAAAATAAATTACTTGTTACAAGTTAGATATAAAAGTGATCGATATTATGATTCAAAATGCATAATTTGAAATCATAAAAACTAAAAACAAATTACATATTACAACAAGTGAAAGTGATAGATATTGGCAATGCCATAATTTTAATTTTGATTATAAACGAGTGAGAATGTACATATCATTATTAAAAGGTGGTTTATATATACCAAATATATCAAATGTATTTAGTTTCATGCATGTTTACTGCTTCAAAATCGCACTTTCATTCTAAGATAAATATATTTTATGTTTGGTTGAAATAAATAACCCTCGAAGAAAAGGAAAAAAATTAGAGATCATTGATTGGTTGACTGAGATAGATGAAGAATATTTCATACCTCAACCTGTGTTTGTCTACTAGACACAAGTTTTAGCTTTTGTCTATAAGACATAATATATGATCAATTGAGCAGGTTCATTGTATTGAAATATCTTAATCTTCTGTCTTATAGATATAAGTTCTAGCTTTTACGTAAAAGGCAGAATTTGTGATCAATTGAGTAACTTCATTATCTTGAAATATCTTGTGTCCACAATTTACACTCGATAAACAACAAAAACTTTATGTTCCGAATTTTCTAATTCAAAGATTTTTTTTTTCTTTAAATATTTAATAGGACTAAAAATTCAAGACCGCCCCACCTATAAAGGTCATTCATGAACTTCACCCAACCTTTTCATAGTTAAGCCTTTTCCTTTCTATCAAATCTATATACATGCAATAAAACGAAAAGAGTTTTTCTTTTTATCCTTATCTAGAAGCTCTCA